AAACTGAGGAAGTGTATGATAAGTAAAAAACGATGTGTGGATAGCACACCCCTTGTGGGAGAGGGAAAGAGATCATTGTACAATAGTAGTTGGGATTATTAGTTTTGATCAGATTTGAAAATAGTAGTTGAGATACTTTACTCCACGAATAAAAGCATTAACCTAATTTGAAGACGAAAACCGCATGAAAGATAACAGCATAGAGAAAATAGCAATAGTCCCTTAACTTTAATCTAATTGGAGCAATGTTCCCTCAAATAAAAATCCTTGACTATGAGTCTCTTAAACTATTATTCTCACACCCACAAACTATTTTCTCTTATCTCTATAAAACAAACAAGCAACAGAAGAACAAGAGGCGGGTTAGGGTTTGAAAATGTCAATTCTCATGTGATTATATAATGGGATTGTTGGGAGAGGTTGTGATAGCCACGCATATCTTTTTACTTTTCACACACCTCTTGTTAATTATGTTATTTAATCTTCTCTGATTCATTCGATCCGGCATATCTTTTTACTTTTCACACACCTCTTGTTAATTATGTTATTTAATCTTCTCTGATTCATTTGATCCGACGACCTAAAACTGAGAAGGTGTGTGAGAAGTAAAAAATGTGTGTGGATAGCACACCTCTTGTGGGGGAGGGAAAGAGATCATAATACAAAACTAGTTGGGATTGAAAGATCAAAACATAGAGAAAATTATAGTAATTGTCTCTTAATTAAAAATTCATGACCATTACCATTAGTCCCTTAAACTATTTTTCTCACACCCATTAACCATTTTCTCTTATCTCTATAAAATAAACAAGCCGCAAAAGAAGATCAAGAAGGTTAAGTGAATTATGAAGAGAGAATACTGTGGGTTACCTTGTCCACTCCTGTTTGAATAGAAGTAGGATCTTTTGTTACATTGTGTATATAATGTTAGTTGTGTTATGCATCATTTTTCTGATAAGTGACTAATAAATTTTACTCAAAAACACGATGGATCACCTTAGTTTTCTTTCTTGAACTATAGAGTTTTAAATTGCTCTGTGTTAATTACTCTTCTATACCCTGGAAAATGAACTTATAATGCAGGGGAAGGAGGATAGGGGCTGTGCAAGACTTGGTGATATGCATCTTTCGTGGAAACACACTTGCATTTGTGCTTCATTCATGTCATCCCATCTGAATGATAATTAACAACCTGTATAAGTTGTTGAGGTAAGCTATTATCCAAGTAATATAGACAACACAAAGAATATAAGCTTTCATATAGTGATAATTCATCGTGGTTAACATGTAAATGATAATTATATGAGTAACTAAAATAAATAAAATAAAAAAACCTTTAGCTTTGAGTTCATTATGTCATGTTAGACATACCTCTTTTCTTTTGTTCTACTCTCCGCTGAAGTTTAAAAGGTGAAACTGGAGAATGATTTTGCACCGTGAAGCACAAAATCGGATCTTGGTGTAGGCTTTTCAAGACTAGTGTGGAAACATAAAAAACGTACATGATTAGAATGTGGCTAATATGGTGTGTTTATGTTTCCATTACATGGACCATTGATTGAGGTTGCACTACCTATTACCTACACTATCATCCAAGGCCAAACTCTTTCTGCAAAAATGAAAAACAGCTGATGATTTTCCTTAAGTTTAAAGAAGGGTTTTCAATTGCACTGTTTCAAATGAACAGTTGTTTTGGACCAAATTTTGCTTTATTTACAAAATTGCCACCACCCCTTCAATGATGTTCAGAATGGAAGTTCTATTTATTTACGAAATTACCATCGCTTTGCACAATGGAAGAGCGCCCACTCGTCCATCATCGTTGATTGCTCAGCTTTGACTATTTATCCGTCTGTTTCCATTCCCTTTTTTCATTCCCTCTTTTGATCCCCGATTCTCAGCTTTGACACTTATATGCTTCTCTAATTTTTTTTTTACTCCAACTCGCTCTTCAACCAACTCTTCATATCTTATTCTTCATCTTAAAAAATATAATCTAAAGTATGCCTTATTTTTTTGTGGGTTCGGTTTTATTTTTACTAATACTTTATTAAACAATACTTTCTATTAGAATGTACCGTGGGACTCAATTGTTATGTTGAAACAAGTAGCAATTGACCTTGTAAATACACAAAAATCAGTTGTTACTTAATTTGCTAATTAAATTGCAACCTCTACTGAAGATGCGATTTTTCCTACTTGGAGTAGCGAACCCCAAAAATTGCTCCTGAAAGAAAATGTATTGTAAGACTAAAGAGCTAATCCATTAGAATTGTCCATTCCAATAGACTAAAGTATTGTAGGACACCCATACCATGCCAATAATTTCCACACAGCTCCAAAATATTTGGATTGGGCTTTCCGGCTAAATGAGCTTTGGACTACTTTTTGTAAATCTAGAGTATATCCTAGACTGATCTGTGTGTATGAGTAAGGGCATGAGAACTTGCAACGGAACAGACACGTTGTCTTAGCCAGTCGAATTAAACACTTTTTTTATGTTTGAAAGTGGACACATTGAATTGTTCCTATGTAAATTTACAAGAAAAAGAAAAAGAACCAACTTGACACAAAAAATTTCACAACATAGATATTCTAGCTTCTTTTTGAATGCGAGGACGATTCTTTTCCCCCAAGTGTCTGAATTATAGCTTCCAAAAGTTTTGATTTCTTATCACGCTGCTTGGCGATCTCTTCTTGTTTGGCACGCAACTCTTCCATGTGCAGCTCAAATACCTTTGAGGTGTTCTCGAGCTCTTTTGTAACTTCTTGCGCATGCAACTCAGCAGCCTTTTCTGCTGCCCCAGCCTGTCGTTTTTCTGCCCGAGCACGAGCAGCAGCTGTAATGGCAGCATCAAGTTCTCCTTCCAAAGTTTCTACCCTTTGTTCAAGAACCTTGATGGTTCGAGCTTGTTCGGAACAAAGTGAGGCTTTGGCAAAGGTCTCTTCTTCAACAAAGACAGCCTTTTTAAGAAGTAGCTTCTGGAGTGACTCCAAATTGAAAGCCATTTCTGTCAAATTGCCTATGGCTCCGTTCCATCTTTCGCTTCCTTTGCCCTTGTCCTCCATTTTCTTTCGTTTCCACCACTTGAAGATGATCACAGTATCCTACTGAATCATGCAATAGCAATTTAAAATCAGAAAAAAATGTATTTCAAAATAACAAGCTGAAAAATCAACACAAAGGAAAAAGAACTAAGAAGAACAAAAGGGATCTTCAGTAAAAGCAAAGTCACAGTGGCACGAATACACCACACCGATTACACACTATATTCCTAAGCTGAATTTTTCCTATAAATTTTCAGCATTTATGGGAAGTTAGCCTCCCAAGTTTTGGAATTTGCTTCTATGAGCCTTTGTGTCTCTTGACTCAAATACAATAACCAAATGAAGTTTGAAGACACAAGATCCGAACAAAATTTTCAGAGACAACATGACACACCTTCTTAGTCTTTTGGACAGAGGCTGCCACCATTAGAATCAAAACATGCACATTCCGAATGTTTCAAGCATGACACATCAATTAAGCACAACCAACAAATAAAACCGCAACCTTGGGCCAAAAATTCTAGGTTTGACAGAGTTATCAAAATTTCACAAATTCCATAAATAAATAGATAAAATGCACCCACACAACCCATAATACCATACTACCATCTCCTACTCTTATTCATCTACCTCATTCCTACGGTTGGCCTACTCAAGGTTAGGGCTCTCCTCTTGCCCTACTGCCCTTTCTTCCGTGTCAGAACAGAGAAAAGATGAGAGCAAGGTACGAGAGAAGGACCACTTTTTTGTATTAGTGGGGTATTAAACTGACTGTTAAACCCATGCTCTGTTGCGTGGCTTTGTTCTTTGACTTCTCTAGTGAATAAAGAATAGTTCGACAAAACATAAGCAGATACTGGATAAATCATACTGCTTTTGAGAACCAAAAGTAGCAAATTACCAGAAGCTATGTTAACGAAAAAATGGCCATCTGCTTCTGCTGCCCTACCCATACATGTTTTAGGCACAAAACTACAGAATGCTCAAGAACATTTGGATTTAGCACCAAACTAAACATCAAAACTGAATAATCTGCGATTCGAGGATCGAAAATTACCTACCAGCTTAACAGCCAGCTTCTCTCCAGTTTGTACATTTACACAAAACACTTACCACCACATGAATTTCATTAGAACTTTTTTGGGGCAAAACATTTTCCCATAAAGTAGCATACCAACCATTCCTACTCTTATTCAAACATTCAGCTTCCAAACCCAACACAAATCACACACAATCACAAAATTGAGATATGGGTACTTGAGAGGAAACAAATCAACCTAATGCCAAGAAACAAAATCACAAAATTATCAAATAAATTGGGGTTCTGATAGGCAATTTGATTTGATTTTTTTTTTTTTTTTGGAAACGAATTTGAGTTTGATTTTGATCCAGTAGGATTCAAACGCTGTTTGAGTCATCATCAAAATTCAATACCATGAAAAAGAATCGCAGAATTACAAAATTGAGAGATGGGTTATGTTAGAATAACTCATGCGGAAGAAGACGTTGTCCTTGAGAGGCTGGAATCAGAGTCGACGAAATACAGGATTCTCCTCCTTGTTGAGTAAGGAGAAAGGGTGAGGTTGGGGTTACCTCCTCCAAAGGAATATTTTGCTGAAGGTTCTGCATTGTAACTAATCCGTACTCCAAATGACAACGAAAACTATATACATAGATCATTCTTCGAGAGATTCCCATCATGATTGGCCCAAGAATCCATCAGAAAACCAAAAGTAGGCAACATAATCCTTGGATTGTGTCACTAATTGTGTATGGAAGAAACCTCAAGTCATGCTACAGAAAATTTCTATCTTATAACTGCAGACTAGAACCAGGAAACATTAGTTCTTTTCTTCATAATTAGTTTTCTATAACTTTTTCTTAAATTGCAAAAAGTGTAAATGCCCCTAAAATTTTTCTTTTATCTTTTTGGAAAAAATCCAAGCATAGAAAGGAGAAAGAAAGGGGAACTTTTCCTCAAACCCACTTTTAACTTCCAGTTCAAATCACTTAAACAGATTACCGTGTTCTTACATTTTCGTAAGTTTACCCTTTAACCAAGAGTCACATAGAAAACTCGATAAGAAGCAAAAATAAGTAGAAATATATGCATAACAAAAAGATGACACCGAAATTCAGATTCCGCACTCATTTCAAAATTACGTACTGAAGTCTGCCTGTACAAAGATTGGCAAAGGAATCATGTTTTGAAGACGGCCAACTTCACCAATCCATAACCTTTCCAATGTTGCTCCTGCAATTAGATTCTTGTTAAGGAGAAATTATATGTACTGCCAAATTAGAACAAAAAGCTGATAGAAAACATGTTTGTATATACATATATAGAATGAATATTTTATAAAAAAGGAATTATATCTTCTGGTAAATAATGGCATACATAAACAACCATGTGCTCATCAGAGAAATCTCTTCTCTGTCAGTAAACTCTAGATTTATAATATAGATCAGAGCATCAACGGAATAACTTACAACAAAAGGTGGCAATACCTACTTTCTAGTGCGATGCCCACACAACTACATAACATGCAATTTTCTTCTTTAACCACCACCCGTTACCCTGCAAAATAACCTTACGCCATGGGAATGGCGCATCGGGCAAAGCAAAACCCGGATAAGATGCGAAGCTTGTGTGAGTGACAATAATATAACATATGTGAATATAAATAACAGCAAATGATTATATGTCAAAGTAGTGCTACGTCCACACATGACTTCTTTTGTATACCATACCAACCGTCAATATTATTCCGTCATTCTCTTGGGATTGTGACTCACCACTCGCCTTTCACCATTTTTCGATAATCACAAGGGTCCAATTTCCATATATATTATCATTTAACCACCATACGCCTCATTAATACGTATATGAATGGTTATTCAATTTCAAATCTCACCACATGTCTATCGAGATAATATTCAGTCATCACACAACTCGAAGTTATGTAGGAATGACACGCCATCAATAATATAATCACGTGTAGGAATGAGATTGGTATCTTTTTCCTCATTGCATCTCTTCGTTATGAGTGAGAATGAGTCACAACCAAAATCATTCACTTTTACGCAACATCTTCATGTAAACTATTTGATTCAATCTCCATTTTCTAGATTGAGCCACACATGCCTTCAATCATATCGTTCATATATGTAATGAACAATAGTCTAGGGCTATAGAGAGACACAGTTCAGCCAAAGCCTACACTAAGCAATCGATCAGGATGTGGTCCCCCATTATGGATTAACCAAGCAGAACCACTCCTGAGAAAATTATTTAGGTAGTGATCCCCATAGCGGATTATCCAAGCAGAGTCGCTCCTACGAATACTATAGGTAGTGATCACTCATCGCAGATTAACCAAGCATGATCATCCCTAAATATGTATGGCTATACCAAAGTAATAAGGATCGCCCATCGCGGATTAACCAAGCACGATCCCAAAGTAGTATGCTCCCCCATTGCGGATTAACCAAGCAGGACCATCCATGTACCACTGGTACATGGTGCAAATTTCGATTATATCCCACATTACCCCATGTACTAGGTTACCGGTCCTCTACTACCCCTCACATACTACAATCATTTCAAACACATCATAAATATATTTTTGAAGCATCATCTAGTAAACATAGCATAGTAGCACACATTTCCATAAAATTATTTGTAAATCCATGTTATCTCCACATAGTATATAACAAGGAATTTAATGGGTAATAACCATATTACAAAATATTCACGTCACTCACCTGGGTTATTTTCACTTCTAGATTCACCAACTCCGCTTCCAAGGAATCTAATACAACACACAATACCCCACTTAGGAAACTTAACAAGACTGGCACACAAACCAAGGCCAAGTGCCACTTGTATGTAAATCGAGGTGCAAGTCAATCGGGAACGACATGTCATCATGATGAGTCAACTAAGCTCCATCAAGCCTTAACAACAATCTACAAATTGACAACAATACAACATATGGATCTTCACCAATCATATAAATGAGTGGTGGTCCAATTTGATTACAACACCAAACAATTGAATTTCGAGAAACTGAGCTAGACATAGGTTCACAAGGTCACTAGAAGATATTTGGTACTTAGACAACACTTGTAGCCAAGGTGGAGGGTTTGCAAACCCGAATTTTCAACCTTAACCAAAAAGGCTCAAATATATAAGGTAGCTAGAGCTCAACAAGGGAAACACTTTTCACAACTAGGCCGATGACAAATTCAAGCCGTAAACTGTCCAATTTCACCGAGAAAAATAAGATTTCTTGGGTTCTAAACACCCAACACTAAAACGACTACAAAAGCACGAACCAAGCATACCAACTTGAAGATTATGAAAAGTAGATGAAGTTTCATACCTCACTCGAAGGAAATGGTTGCCAAAATCACGAAACCGACTAGACTTGGATGCCTCTAACGGGAAAAAATGGAAAAGAAAATGGGAAATCTAACACTACAAAGATGTAGGGCTCATCAAGAGCTTTCCATGGACACTAAGATCACCTAAAACGGAGGTCGGACATAGGAGAAACGAGCGGGTCAAGTTGGATGGTCGGCCACCCGATTGCACCTAAAAGCAATCAGGCTCCCCATTTTTGGAAACCTTCTGGAGCATCCTAGGACCTGCCCCTCCATTTATAGCATTTTGGCCAAATTACGAAAATGCCCTCCAACTTCATACGTCTCTAACTTTTTCGTTCTGACTTGAGATCCATTTGCGCCTACGTGCTGCTGGAATTAAGCTCTACCTAAACAACTCAAGAGTTGATCGAAAAGGTCGAGATTTGAAATGACAAAAATACCCTTCAGTTCACCTTCTCAAAACCGGAGATTTTAACGAACTAGTTTCAATTAAATTCCGAAATACGACAAAAATAAAATAAAATACTAATTTTTGGGATGGGATATCATATTTACTGTACTTTACTTATGCTATAACATCATGTGTGAATTAGATTCAATCCTGTTTACATGTACTTTACTTATACTCATCACCTTTCGTGTGTTGGCTAGTACAACTCGATTCGGAGTCCAGATGGACATTCTTGGTCTGGGTGTGTCATTTCTTGTGTTCGTGTCATACCCGATTTCTTAACGGGTCGTGTCGTGTAACACTTGGTAAAGTAAACCGGCAATATGACCGACCCGAAATCGACCCATTAAGATTATTAGGTAATATGACTCGACCCGTTAAAGAAAATATATTTTAAATCAATAAATAATGAAAATGAAAAATATAATTGAAAAAAAATAAAAAACATAATACTAAATTAGTATATGCATAACACATTGTCACATAAATATTACTTTAAAATATAAAATAAATAAATAAACTATTTGTCTTTCAAGTATTACATAGTCTAAAATAAGAGCCTCATGAAAAAACATTAGTACATTACTATATAAAATACCAAATAGTCAAGGATATGCAAAATGAAGGGAGTTGCATTTCAAGGTTGACAAACCTTGGACATTTATATATGCTTTCACATTTTTTAGACTTGTACATTAATGATTATAAATTTTATATATTTTGAACTCCCTTAAAAATACTATTCATGAGGGTTTGTATGGTTTTAAAAATTCAAACGACAATATACCCATACTCATAGTGTAGAGGATGTGATCACAAGCCTTTGCATTTTTTTTTCACAATTTTCGCACTTGTAAATTAATTATTATAATTTTTTTAATGTGTTTGGAAATTTTAAATTACTTTATACTTTTATTTTTAATGTGTTTTATAATTTTTTTAATCTCACTCTTTGCCTATAGTATACTATAAAATAAATAAATAAATAAAACTTAAATTTTCAAAATTTATATAGATACAAGATATACACAATGGTTATTGTATTTTATAGTAAGTTTTTTTTAGGAGTATCATCAAAATAATTTTTTTCTTAATGTGTTAAAACAAGTTACCCGCTTGTCACCTTCGTGTGAACCTGTTAATGACCTATTATTAACGGGTTCTTATCGTGTGACCCAATAACAATCCGATTAGTTATCGTGTTGACCCGAAACCCGTTATTTTCGTGTCGTATAAGAAATTGTTAGGTCCACTTATCACGTCATGCCAAACGCCTAGTATATTTATATTTATGGCTAAATTTTTCATCATATATTTTTATTTTTACCTATTTTTCATTTGTACCAAATTTTTTTTCATTTTTAATTTGTACCCATATATTAGTTTCTTTTTGTGCCCATATTTTTTAAAGTTTTATTGTGTTTTGTACCCATGTGTATATCGTCATGTGACATTGTATATTTAATCAATGATAGCAAAATTACATATGGTATATTTATGTTTTATGCCTAAACTTTGTATCATATATTTATATTTTTAATTTGTACCCACTTTTAATTTGCAACATTTTTTTAAATTTTTAGTATTTTCTTTTTAGTTTTATTTTGTACCCATGTATTAATTTCTTTTAGCGCCTATATTTTTTAAAAATTCATTTGTACTCATATTTTTTAATCTTTTATCTGCACCCTAATTTATTTATAATGTATCCATTCTTCTTTATTAATGTATCACTTTGTTATATGTGAAATGTACCAATTTTTTTTGTAAAATGAACCAATTTTTTTAACACTATGGATACATTCTTTTGCCATTTATTATTTCTTATTTTTACATAGTTTTTATCCATTTATTCAATCAAAATGTTTGAATTTTTTTATTATAACCGTTTCTAGTAGTATTATAATGAGGGATTTTAAATTTATAGGATGATAAATCTCATAAAATATCAAACAATTAATGTCAAAACTATAAAAATATAAATATTAATTGTAATATAATGAGGTGTACAAAGTCAAGGGACTTTGATCAAACTTTGAATACTATTAAGGTTTTAGTCAAAGAATGTTAATGATTAGGGACCGCATCCAAAGTATCCAAAATAGAAGTCTTCATTGGCTCCTTAATCTTTGTTGTATATTATTTCCTAACTCATTTTTTATTGATTTCCTATCACATTTAAACCTGGAACTCTTGTATGGAGAAAGACTGATGTTTTCAAAACATATTCCTCTATGAGACGATGTTTGTTCGTTGGGTATGCTGATGTAGACCGAGCTTGATCTATTATTGACAGGCAATTTACATCGGAATATTTTTGGATTTGTTGAAGGAAAATATATAACT